GTTGGGGTAATGCTGCTCTTCTCCACTGTGCAATTAGGCTTGCTTTACAGCCTGAGCGCATTGAAGAGGAGGAGGATCCGACTGGCGGGAGCTGCAGTAGGGAGGCCGTGGGGACTAGTTTCCCTCTCTGCGAGAGCAAAAATGCAAATGTCTCGTGAACTGGACCAGAACCTTTTCTGATGGGTCTATTTTACAGCTCCAAATGCCTTTCCCTTCCAAAAGTGGTCCCCAAACTTCCCGCTGGCAGGAGAGATCGGGGATTCTTGAGCCTTGCATCGCAGAGGATGGTCCCGCAAGAGGTGGCCGTGCTCGAGGCTGTGCATGGCACCGTGTTGTCGTGGCTCCGGCTGAGGCCTGGGAGGCCTTGAGGTCGCCAGCAGCTCCCTCTGCGGCCCCAAATTCCATACGGGTGATGTTAGCGCGTTACCAAACCGGCGTATCTGCACGCAAAGGACCCGCCGGACAGGAGGACCATCCATCATCTGCTGAAAGATTCCCTGGGACTGTCTGCCGTGATTAAAAATAATAAAACCCCCTTGTTCCCATCGGCTGCCCCGTTGGAGCGGGGAGAAGGTTCGTTCTTGGGAGCAGCTCTTGTCTCCCAGGCTTGCGAACGTGGTCGGCGCGGTGGAGTCCTGCCAAGGACGGTGACCCCCACGGTTCGGCTTGCTCCCGGGCCCACTGCCAGCCGGCTGCTTCCCAGATTTTGGCGGAGGTAGGGGAAGAGCCCGCTCCATCTCCTGTGCGTGGGCCGGTCCGCCCGGGAGCTGGGAGTGCTGGTGATAAGAAGGTTGCAAAGCAGCTGTCTCCCCAGCCCTGCCTGCTGAGCCGTCCTCGCCAAGCGGGGCTGCTGCACTGTGCTGAGCTGCAGAGCCTGTGAAAACACCCTTGTAACCAAGGCAGGTTAAGGGCCATGCAATGGCCATGATGTTGGGAAGTGCAGACTGTCCCTGTGTGTCACCAAGAGCTGCTCGGCTGGTGTCCCACGAGAGGCAGGAGGGGGAACGTGCCCAGGGACGTTCTTCTCCATGTCTGCTCCACGGAGACGTGCAGGGGCTTTGCACAGCTGGGGCTTCTGCGTAATGCCAAAAATACCTGGCACTTGCGGACTCACAGCCGTGTATCCGGATCTGTGAATCAGAGCTGGGAGTTGAATATAACAGACTTTCTTGTGAGATCCTCTTAAGCCTCGGGACTGTGGTGCTCCGGAGCTAGCCTGGATGCAGGGTATCGATTCCTTCTTTGGACAGAAACAGGATATGCTTTAGCGCTGAGAAACCAAGGCTTGCTTAGAAAAATGAGTTGTTTTGTTTTTTAAAGGGAAGCTGGGCTTTGGCCACATTGCTGCCTGGGGTTTGCTTCCCTTTCTACCCGATGGAGGCTCGTGCTGTATCGTATTCCCCTGGGGCAGCCTGGCACATCCTTATCGCGGGGTGTGCAATGCCTTTCCGCGCCTTGCTCCACCAGGAAAGCCATGATTTATAGGAGAACCGGGGGGACGTGGCCACAGCTGCACAGCTACAGCCGGGGTGGGGAAGCTTGGTATGAGAAAAAGGCTCAGGGTGACGCGAGTATGTGCTTCCCCCTTCCCCCCTACCCTTCTGGTTCAAACTGCGTAGCTTCGAGACTAAACCAGGCACCATAGCTGAGGAATTGCATGAATGTAGGGGAGGGAGAGGCTGTCCAGCATCTCAGGCTGCCTTGAGTGACAAGCTGGTTTCTCGGAGCTTTCACCCCCACTGTCAAAAAAACAAGCTCCAGGACATGGTGTAATATCTTCTGTTTGCATTTCTTCCCCCATTCCTCCTAGCCTACCACTATCCACACCATCTTCCTTACCCAGGCAGACGGCTATCTAAGTGTAGTCTTTGCCATCAAGCAACGTTATCCCCAGTTTTCAGGAACCTGCCCATCAAGCAATGGGGCTGCAGCCTGCCGTGCGCCCCAGCGATGCTAGCTCCATCTCTATTTCTTCCTGGCTTTCCAGCTAACCTCAGACAAATCCTTGGCCTTGAACTTTTGAAAGTATCTTGTCGCAGGGATACAACCTGGGCCTTCAGTGGCTGGCGGCGTTTTCCATTTGTCGCTATGAGCATGAGTGTGCATTGTAGCGCACCTACCATCCATCTCTGGGCCCTTTCTAAAGACTTGAGGAATACGAAATAAAGAAAAGCTGCACAGGACTCCTCCTAAGCCATGTGCACAGAGCATCTTCCCCCTTGAACCTCATGTAAAGGGGGCAGTGACTACAGCCAGCGCTCCCTGGCCCGTGATGCCCCGGTGAGCTCAGGAGACAGGAATGTTGAATTTGCTGGTCGAGGGTTACTGGGCTCTGGCACAGGTCTGCAAAGGCAAAGGCCTCTGGGAGACAGTGCATTTTCCTTTCTGGAATTAGCTTTAGCGCTGAAGGTTGGTTTGGGGCCAGCAAAACTTCCTCTGAGCTGAGCTATGCAAAAGAGTCTGCAGTGTTTCCCTTAAACACAGCTCATTTGGTGCCAGAATTTCCCTTGCCTGAATATTATAATCTCCCCAAGCGATGATGAGGAAACGTGACCTTTGTAGCAATCCTGGCTTGTCTGGAGTGGGCATTAGTGGCCACCTGAAACCGCACCGCTGGAGCGCTGCTGCCTGGATCGTTGTTCTGCAGGAGGAGGCGTTCACAGGGCAAATGGAAAAAAAGGGAAAAAAGAAACCCCTCTCCTCACTTGGCTGGGGGTCCAGAGGGAGGTGAAGTCAAGATTTGGATCTCATATGGGCAACTGGCCCAAGCCCAAGCTGAAGCCTGAACGTCCCAGACATTTGGCACACTGGGAGTCTGCAGCCAAACCGGAACCTGCTGCTCTGAGCCTGTCTTTAGACCTGCAGGATTTGCTTGCCTCCTTGCAGAGAGATAGCCCTGCTGCCAGTGATGTTTTGCTCCAAACTGAGAACCGCAGGGATGTAAGGCTGGGGACCCCCGAGCACGACTGACCCAGCGAGGGGCGTCTCAGGCTTGGGAGCAGCCTGGGAATACACAGGATGGAGCTGAAGCTACGAGGTCTCAGCTCGTGCCGCCCTCCCTGTGCGCGGGCAATCGCTGCTAGAGCTGAGAAGAAAAGATTACGTGATCCCAGTGTGAGGCGCCAAATTTGATTGCTAACGACTAGAAATAACTGGCCAAGGTCTCCCCGCCACCACTTTGCTGAACGGTTTTGAAAGGAAATCTTTCCACCTTTTTGCTTTGAAAGGAGATTTAACGGCTGACCTCCCTGTCACGCAAGCAGCGAGGCCGGCAGCGGCGCGGGTTTGGCTGCGCTGAAATGGCACGCGCGGTCTGCAGGTCAGCAAGCCCCTCTCGCTGACCCAAAAGCCAATGCTTTGGCAGGGGGTTGTTTCTCGATCGCTTGTTTGCTTTTCATCAAAAGCAAATGCTTTTGCCATTAGGTCAGCCCAAGAGGAGTACTCATTTCCCTTCGGCGTGTTGTGTTGATGATTGAACCCCAAAGCGTGTTCAATGTGGGAGCTGAAGGGGCTCCGGATTTGCTAATATAACTTTATTATTATTATTATTCCTGATGTTCATTGGAGAGGGAAGGGGCTCCTGTGCGCTTCGTGGAGACGCAGCTCTCCGGCAAAGGGAGCAGGCAGGAAAACTGCTCCGCTCTGCGGAAAAGCGTTGGTCCCCATGAGCATCACCCCGGGGTCCTCTGTGTGCCGGCCGCAGGCCCTGTGCAGAAGATGGAGCGACAGAATAGCGAGCCGATGAGGTCATGGGGAATTAGTCACATCCAAGCGGGAAGCGGGGAGGGCTGCAAAGCCCAGTGACTTCAGCAGTGGGAAAAACTCTCTGCGCTCAGGCAAGACCCGCTTTGGGGGTCGCATCGCAGCGCCGCCTCCGGCAAGGCTTTGCCAGCAAGTGATGGGAGGGGTAGGGAGGATGTCACCCCCAAATCTGGCTCGCTCTGGCATGAACGAGGCCCTTCCTCCTTCAGACTGCAGCCTTCCAGCAGGGAGAGAGTTAAGAGCTGCCTGGAGCCGGAGACTATCTGGAGTTGTCACACGAGGGAGGGAGGGAGATCGTGGCAGAGCTTAATGAATGACTTCATTTATATATTAAGAAAAATAATAAAAAAAATAACACACATAACAACAGGGTGGCTTCCTGCCAGGACCACAGACAACGGTTTCTATGGGAACCCACGGGAAAACAATAAATAGGAGAGTGGAGCACGTGGGGAAGGATAGCGAGTCACTGCCCTGGGGCTCCCTGTCCTTGCTCCCAGGGAGGGCAAGGTGGGAAGGGGCAGCGAGTGGGGGGAGAGGAAAGCACCGCTGGGCCCAGCACCAAGCTCTCAGTGCACTTGCTGCCCTGCTCCTCACTGCCCCATGCACGTGTCTCTCGTGCCAGGGGCTGGGGGCGCAGGGGGCTGCAGACCTCGGCGTGGGCGGCTGTGATAGTGGGAATGCGGCTGTCCCCGTGGAGGGGCTGGCAGCAGCGGCAGAGCAGGAGCGGAGCCCGTCCTGCACGGACTGTGATTATCACCGGAGCAGGAATCCTGTGGCGCCTCATCGCTGCCGCTGGGCTCCGAGCGGCCATTCTCCAGGCAAGGCTTCTATTACCCAGCAGCTGAGGTGCTTGGACAAAGCCAAGGCAGGTTCTTCTGTGTGAGCAAGGGTGGTGTTGCAGCCTCGCTTGTGTAGCGCGGGAGCAGATGGGCAGCACGATGCCTGGTGGCCCAGGAAAGGCTGATTTCCCTAAGGAGCTGAGCTGAGATCCCCAGAACATGCTCTCCTGGAGAGGGAGATTCAGGGCATGGGACTTCTTGCAGCCTCACGGGTCCCTTAAGCATCCTTTCCGAGGTGCAAATTCACTGGAGAAGGGGCTGGGAGGTGGGGTGCTCCAAGGCGGGCAGGGGCGGCTTGGGGGCCTGCCCCCCGCACCGTCCCGCCCCG